AACACTCAGGCCGGGAACAACTGCCCTCCTGAAGTGTTTTCCAACAATACTCTGATTGGTTTACAAGAAAGTTCTAACCTCCAACTAGGAACTAAACTTCTAGGATTTTGACAATGAATGCTTGATACTAAGAAGTTTAGTGAAGCAAGAGTCTAAGCAGAGAGTCGTGAATAGAACAGCACTTTTTGCTCAAAGGAATATCTCTCTACTTAGTATGCTCAGGCTTGGTTAGAAACTTTCGTTTCTGCCTATATTTATAGGCTCTCCGGTCAATCGATCTTATCCGTTGGTTAGGATAGATCAATCTTGTTCGTTGAATCTTGATTGCAGAGGATAAACAACTTGTTGTTTATCTTTCTCTTCGGAGCGTATGGGATGTTTTTGTTTTGCCCGCCTAGCCGCTGCAGTTCTCTTTAGGCTTCAGACTGTACGCCCATGCTGTAGGTCCATGTATCTGTCTTTATTTGCCTTCGCTGAAATATCTTTTTGTGTGTGCCTTCAATGCTCCGGACCCCTGATATTAATAATTTTTGAGATAACTGAAATATGCCGGTAGGATATAAACATCCTATTAAGGTAAATAAAAATTACCTTATTGCATTTTTACTTTACCGGTAATATTTCATTAGTCTCAAAAATTGTACATTTCATTTATTTTGTCACATAAATACTAGACTAAAATGAGATACAGTGTACACGTGCTAAGTATAGTGGCATCATCAAAATCTCATCAAACTTGGGTACTAACAAATACTTATATAGAAAAATTCTAATACAAGATTTCTAACAGGGGTACTCTAATGTTCTAATCTATTAAGCCTAGCATCATCAAAATCTAAGTACATTTATTCCATACATTGAGGCAGAAGAAACTATCCAGATGATGGTCGAAATAGGGGACGAGGTTCACAAAGCATCAATCTGAATGACGTTCGTGGTGGTAGACATCAAATGTGCCCACAACGCCATTTTGGGCCGACCAGGTTTGAAAGACTTGGAAGCAATAGCTTCTGTTCGACATTCATGCATCAAGTTCCCAACAGATACTGGAGTTGGAGTGGCCAGGACAGATCCAGCGACAGCCCGGACTTGTTATCGGGAGGCCTTGAAAAAGATGAACACCCGTGGAATGCGGGTAAACAGTATTAGGGTTGAAACTCGTCGAACAGAGTTCGAGACGCATCCTGAGCCAGCTACCCTCTTAGAGCAGATCGACAGTGATTCCCCCCCACCCCCCAACCGAAAAGTGGCGATCAGAGTGGACCTGGAAGCTGAAATTCGGGAGGGTGTAATTACGGTTCTAAAGAAGTTTCAGATGTTGTTCGCTCGAGGACCAGAAGACATGCCTGGCATTGACCCGGAAATAATCTGCCACAAGCTGGCCATTCGGCCTAATGTCAAATCGGTTCAACAGAAAAAAGGTACCAGACGACCAAACATCAAGAATTCACCAAACAGGAAGTTGCCACCTTGCTACGGATCAAACACATCCGGCCAGTGATCCCTGTCGAATGGTTGTCAAACGTAGTATTGGCACCAAAGGGATCCACTTGGAGGATGTGTGTGGATTACTCTGAACTGAATAAAGCCTGTCCGATGGATCCCTATCTGGTGCCTCGGATTGATCTCCTGGTAGATGAAACAGCTGGGGTGAGCTATTAAGTTTCATGGATGCCTTCCGGGGATATCATCAAGTCTTCATGCACCCGGAAGATGCAGAGAAAACAACATTCGTCACCTCAGATGGCGTATTTTGCTACATTATAATGTCGTTCGGGTTGAAAAATGCCATGGCTACCTTCCAGAGGATGATCAGAATACTTTTCAAAGAAGTATTGGGGGTAACAATGGAGGCTTACGTAGATGATATTCTGATCAAAATCCGTAAGAAGGAGGACCATGTCCTGGATATGGAAAAGGTTTTCTATATAATACAGAAGGCAAACATGAGATTGAACCCCAAGAAATGTGCCTTTGCAGTTAAGGGAGGCAAGTTCTTGGGTTACATGATGAGCGAGAGAGGTATTGAGCCTCACCCAGAGAAGGTGAAGGCAATCATGGATATGGAAGCCCCGAGGAACCTTAAGGAGGTTCAGAGATTGACCGGACGATTGGCATCCTTGAGTAGATTTTTGTCCAAACTGGCCGATCGAGCAATCCCATTTTTTCATGTTATGAAGAAGGCGAACCCCTTCGAATGGACCGCAGAATGCCAAACGGCCTTCGAGGAGTTCAAGACATATTTATGTTCTCCTCTGGTCTTAACAAAAGCTGACCTAGGGGAACACTTGTATATGTACCTCGCCGTAGCCGATCTAGCTATAAGCTCTGTGTTACTAAAAGAAGAAAATGGCATCCAACGGCCCATTTATTTCGTGAGCAAAGCCCTGAACAGGCCGGATACTAGGTACACTCTGGTGGAGTAAACTGTATTGGCACTGATAGTAGCCATCAAATGACTTGCACCCTATTTTCAGGCGCATCCAATAATGATATATACAACTCAGCCGCTCGTTACCATCATGAGAAACCCAATGGCTAGCGGGCGCATTACAAAGTGGAATCTCCTGATCGGGCAGTATGAGGTAGACTTCAAGCCTCGACCTATCATCAAAGGCCAGACCTTAGCAGATTTCATAGCAGAAGTACCGCTCGGCCTTCGGAAACTGAGTCAGGGAGCAGCGTGCTGGATAACTGGTGGGAGATGTACGTAGATGGTGCATCAAGCACAAAGGGTTGTGGTGGTGGATCCGTGATCACATCACCCGAAGGGTTTAAAGCATACTACTCCATTCATTTTGATTTTAAAGTAACCAACAATGAGGCCGAATATGAGGCCCTTATTGCAGGTTTGAAGTATGCAAAGGCCCTGGGTGCCGATCGGTTCAAGGTCCGATCAGATAGCCAACTAGTGGTCAACCAAGTGAATGGAACAACCGAGGCAAAAGAAGAGAGGATGAAGGCATACAAAGAACTGGTCGAGGAGCATATCCATAAATTCAAACATGTGGTACTCGACCAGGTCTCCAGAATAGAAAATCATGACGCAGATATCTTATCTAAGTTGGAAAATGCAGCCTTTGATGACCGAGCACAGATGATCCCAGCTCACATCCAGCGGTTTGCCCATCGAGAAACCTTGACGACACCAACAACCATGATCCTGAAGGTGGAAGCTATTTCTTATGTCGTTCCCAGTTGGGTCACAGATATGACTATTTATCTGAAGGACAGAAATCTCCCAGAAGACAAAAATTCAGCGTATAATATCAAATGCATTCAGAGGAGGACTTCCATGCTCGAACTGGTGGATGAACAATTGTACAAAAAGACATTCGGAGGACCATATCTAAAGTGTCTTCCACCCGGTCTAGCAGCGGCAGTAATGGAAGAAATTCACGAGGGTATCTGTTCAAGCCATCAGAGGCCTAAGACACTGGCAAGGAAAATCATCTTGCAGGGATACTACTGGCCAACCATCCAACATGACTGTTTTTCACATACCAGGAAGTGCAAGGTTTGCCAGCTATATGCACTGGTTCCCAGACGGCCAGCTACTTTCTACACTCCAATGACCATTTCTCTTCCATTTGCTAGGTGGGGGATCAACATGCTAGGGCCCCTACCGACTGCCCCCGGAGGACGAAAGTATATCATCGTTGGGATTGATTATTTCACCAAATGGGTGGAAGCCGAACCATTGGCTAGCATCACAGATTTCCAGTGCCAAAAGTCCGTCTGGCAGAACATCATTTGCCGGTTCGGCCTCCCCGAGTAAATCGTCACAGACAACGGAAGGCAGTTTGTGAGCAGGAATTTCGAGGATTACTTGGTCAAATGGGGGATCAATCATTCCAGAGCATGTGGCATACCCCCAGGCAAATGGGTAAGTGGAAAATATGAACCGAACCATCATGGATGGTATGAAGAAGAAGCTAGAAGAATGTTCCTCGTCATGGCCAGACTAAATGAATTACATCCAATGGACGTATAGGACTACACCCCGAACGGTCACAGGAGAAACGCCGTTTGCCCTTGCTTACGGCTTCTAGGCCAAGGTTCCAACAGAAGTCCTAGTTCCCACACACCGAACGGTGCATTACAATCCAGAACGTAATGAAGATAATCTACAGGCCGAAATGCTTCATTGAGGAAAGAAGGGATCTGGCTGCAAGACGAATGGAGGAATATCACATGGCGACAAGGAGATACTTCGACAAACAAGTGAAAATCCGATCAATCGAAGTAGGGGATTTGGTCCTAAGGAAGCGAGAAAAGAGCAAGCCTCTCGAAGGCGGAAAAATGGCCTAAAACTAGGAAGGCCCTTATCAGGTCTGCAAAAAATATGCTTTATGAACGTTCAGCCTACAATCTACCGAGGGCCGACCGGAAGGAACATGGAATGTTGAACATTTGAGAAAAGTTTACCAATAAAAAACGGTTGTTGCCACCTCTTGTAAAAAAAATAGATAGAGGGAGACATAACTTCCAGGAAAGTCTCACCTCAGCTTTTAACATGGAAAATCATTCCGGATGACCAAATGAGGAACATGTTAAGAGTTTGGAGGGAGCCATCATCTCAGCTAAAGTTTTTGACCCAATGATTCTGAATGAACGAACATGAGGATCAAAACGGATTGGAGGTGGTGACAAGACCATAAGTATGGACGAACCGAGCGGCATTCGGTAACACGGTTGAACCGAACGGGGGATCAGAACTATGGTTTTTAAATCTTATGTCAGTCATTAGCTTCGACGAACCACAACGATATAGGATCGAAGGGTGAAATCTAAACTAAATGATTTGGAGGTGAGTCGCTATTTTAGCTATAACTAGGAAATGATCCGATCAGGGGATCTTGTTTATAGTTTGAAAATGGTTATCTCAAACCCCTAATATGGATGATCCGGATCGGAGAAAACCGGACGGATTGCATCAGAATTATGGGTTTGGAAGATAGAAAGGACAATGCAATAACATGATCGGGGAAAGAATCAATCTTTATTCTTCGGCACTACCGGCCGGGAAGTACAAGAAAATCAAGGGTAAATACAACAAAGGCATGAATTATGCTACCGAATGATCCCTGTTTGGGGACGATGGAGGTTGCGGGTCACCAGCTTGCACCGAATCATCAGGAATTGCTTTCTGTCTTTTCTCCATGACCCGATCATAAGTATTCCCGAACAGGTCATCAAACCCCAACTCATCAGGATCAAATGGTTTGGGGAAATGCTCCATAATTAGGTCAAGGTTCCTGTCCACAAACAGATCTTGACTCTTTGTGACCGTTTCCTTTTTCAGAGCATCTATGAAAGCTTTCCCTTCCGGCGTGCTATCCAGAAGCTCGATTCCCGCTTTGATAGGATCCTCATTGTCATGCAAGAATTGACCGAGATGACGACCCAAGAATTGTCGAGCGGTTTCTTCCAGGGCGACATTCAGTCTTTTTCTTCGTTGATAATCTATCACCGCTTGTTTGGTGATCTTGGAAACATTGGCAAAATAAGGAACGGGGGGAGTTTCTCCCTTTGCCTTGTCAAACTTCATCCCGACAGATTCAGCCACCTTCACCTTTGCCTTAAGGTCCTTGATCTCCCGATCACGACGACGGACCCTCTCCTCCATCTCTGCTAGCTCGGTCGTTGCCTTATTAAATTTGTTGGCACGATACTGCAAATCTTCCGCCAGCTTACGGGCAGCTGCAATAAAGATCTGGCTATCATCCCGATCGCTTGCCAAAAGCTTCATCTCCCGTTCAGCCGCTAGGAAAGCCCGGTGGTAATATACGCCGGCCTGCAAAAACGGCAGATAAGGTCAGATGAGGTATTAGGAAGTTAAAAAATTGTAAATAAAGTTTAAAAAGGATCCATACCTTGAGGGACTCAAGGTGACCTGCCTCAACCATGTCAGACCAATGGGTCAGGTTGGAAAAATTGGGAGCAACCTTCAAGGAAGTACTACACCACATGGAGACTGGTGTCTGTACGAACAGGTACCTTCCCTCTGCCCGAGGCCCCAGGTTGAAGAACTCCACAAACATCCGATCATCGACCGACATGTTGGTAAGAACTGAATTCTTTGGTGTAGGAGGGAGAACAGGTTTCTTAGGCTCAGTCTCTGGACCGGTCAAGTCAACTATATGATCGATCGAGATAAGCTGGGTGCCGTCATCTCCCCGGCGCCTCTTCCGGGCTTGTTCAGCATCATTCCGGTTTCCATCAATCAACTTCTCCTTGCCTTTCCCAATGGAGGCCGTCGGAGTAGGATCAGGTGTGGGAGGCCGAACGGTAGCAGGGGGAATCACACCTGCAAAGAAAGGAAACAAAGCTAAGAAACAGAATTGAACGAAGATTGATCAGGCTGAAACAAACAAAGCTTACCAATCCTAGCAACCAACAGCTTGGAAGGGGTGACAAAAGAACGAAGATTCCGCGCACCCCCCAGTCACAGTGACTCAGAATGGCATCTAGAGTAGGTTCAGAATCCCGAACTGGATAGGCATTCCACCGATCGGGGAATGGAAGTGGCTCGCCCACGCGGAGAAAGAGAGACTGTTCCTCCCAGTTGGCCGGTGTGGTAGGATCATCCGTGAATAACTGACGATCAGCACAAGCGACTAATTTCAGATACCTTGTAGTCCAGTAGGCTGATAGCAATAGTGATACAGGAACAAGTCATTGGGGACAATACCCAGATCATGACAATGAAGGATAAAGCCGTTTAGAATGCGGTAGGTGTTGGGCACGAATTGAGCCGGGAGTACAGAGACCCGACGCGAAAGATCTATGACGAACGGGTGCAGGGGGAAACGAAGCCAAGCGGCCAAAGCATTAAGATGCACAAGCACGTGCCCCGGACGGTGCCTCATCAGATGCTTAATGAAGTCAGCATAAAATTCCCTAGGAGGAGGCAAGAAATGGTGAATTTGTCGTTCGGCATCCTCAGGAAGGTGTTGCCTTTGTTTTCGAATACGGTTGAAGTGCAAAGGGATGTGAGGTGGCCGTTCGGGCATCCCCTTCTGATAGATGGCGAGATCATCACCCGATGAACACCCATCATCTGGGAGAGGTTGTTCGGGTTGGTTCGATGCAGGAGGATTGGTGGAATCAGGTACTTGGGATGATGAGCCCCCAGCCTTATCAGCGACGGAAGTTTTCCCTCTTGGACGACGAATGAGAGGCATATCTTCTTCTTCTGAAGAACCGGAGGAGAATAACATAAAAAACAGGAAGGGACTACCAAGGAAGCCTAAGGATTCTAGAGAGAGAAAGCTTAAAGAGAAGAGGAAGGATTGAAGAAACAACAGGAAAATGAGAAGGAAGCACCTCTCTTCTTATAAAAGGAGATGTCGCCCAAAACCCGGAATCCATGAAGGACACGTGGCAGAATGTGGTTGCAAGCAATTATGGCACATTTATGATTATACTAGCATGTCCCCCGAACGGTGTACGTATCAATGGACATCCCAAACCAAGTTTGGAGGGAGCCATCATCTTAGCTGAGTTTGGACCACAAAAGGGTTCCAAATGTTTTGAAGGCGAGGACAAATCAATAAACATGAACGATCCAAGCGGCAAACAATAATGTGGATGATTTTGTCCTTTAAACCCGAACGGAAAAATATAGAATTCAAGTTAATGGTTTGGGGGTGTCTCTACTTTAGCTATAGGCAGGAAATAACCCGAACAGGGAATCCTACCAATAGTTTGAAAGTAGGATTCCCCAAACCCTTAGTCTGAATGATTCAGATCGGGAAAAAATAGATGGATTAGCGTCAGAAACACGAGAAACGGCTAAGTCCTATAAAACTGGCCGAATCCCGGATGGCAAGATAAAGAATGATCAAAGAACACGAGAAACGGCTAAGTCCTATAAAACTGGCCGAATCCCGGATGGCAAGATAAAGAATGATCAAAGAACACGAGAAACGGCTAAGTCCTATAAAACGGGTCGAATCCCGGATGGCAAAGACGAAAAAGGAAAGTAAATAAAACATTGGGCAAAAAAGGTTTGATATATATTCATCGGCTCTACTGGCCGGGAAATACAAAGATTATCATTTCAAAAGCGGAAAATTACAATTATCAAGGGAAAACTCAGCTCATCTACTGGCTGGGGGCCTCCTTATCACCTTCATCATCCTCGTCCTCGCCCTCGTCCGAGTCGGAGGGAGGTTCAGGCTCCTTCCCTGCCTCACAATCGGCGGCCCGTTGCAGGTCCCGTAGATATTTGTCATACTGAGCCTCGACAATGGGGACCGAAGGGAGATCAGAAGGCTGAATGGGTCTGCCCAGCAATTGTTGTAGCTTGGTCAAAAGGGGAGCAGAATGTGCAGACAACCCATGACATAGATAGATTTGGCCAGGGAGTCATTGAAATGTTTACCCCGAGGGTCCCGATCGAGCAGCTTCACGCCTTCCGTACGCCGGATATCGCCCCGGGGTAATTGATCAAAATAAGCCCCAAAAGTTACCGGGAGCTGTTGTCGGGCATAGTCCTCCTTGATGACAGTGAATTCATCAGAGGATTTGAACGCCTCTCGAACGGAGGACGGATCCACATTCACTTCAGTACGACCATCTGGGATGCAGGGGTGCTTTTCTTCAAACCTAACTTGAACGACCTCAGTCGCAGAAACTTTAGCCTGGGCAGCGGCCAGCTGAACCTGAAGCCTGCCCAGCTCATTGTCAAACCTCTGCCTCTCTTCAGCAAAGGCCTTCCGTTCGGCCTCAGAGTTTGCAAGGGCAGCAGCGGCAGCCTGTTCGGCTGAAGTCTGAGCAATGATCAGATCCCGCTCTTTGGCTAAACGAGCCTCCCTCAGCTGCAGGCTATACAGCCCCATCTGAAACATTTCGAGAATCAAGGATAAATAAGGAAAAGAAAAGCCCTTAATTTATGAAATGGAACAAAGAGGAGGGGAAACAAATACCTTCAAAGCCGTCAAAGCAATGCATTCTTCTGCCCAATCGATCGAGAGGTTAGGCAAAGGGAAATTGTTGAAACAGGCAGAAGTAGTCCAGATCTGGCTGGCCGAGGAACCAGCCCTTTCCAAAATCTCGTGGACCGGGTCCTCCAGGGAAATTCGCCGGACTTGCTTTGTCACGCTGGCAACATTAGCTTGTTCGGCATCTAGATTCACCTCCTGAGCAGTTTGAAAATGCTCAGAAAATTGGTGCAACTGATCTGACTCGAACCGGTCATCAATCAACATATCCTCAAATTGGTCTTGATGAAGAGGAACCTGCTGGATAGGGTGGGCCTCTTGAACGAACTGAGGCTGCTCGACACTCTGTGGAGCAACAGTAGATTGTTGGGGTTGATTGTTCTTCCTAGCTTTCTTCCTTTCCCCACTCCACCGGCTGCAAGCACACGACTATCATCCATGGAAACGTATGGGTTGGGAGGTGAAAAAATAACAAAGGAAAAGGTTAGTACCAGGCAGTCTTATCACGTGGGAAACAAAGAGGAACGGAACGTTTCTTGCACGGGAAGGACCGTCCGGCCCATGACACTTGGTTTTCAGTTAAGTAGACCCAGGAATACGGGTAGTGCCTATCCCGGCATTGACAAGCCGATCGGGAGTCAGGTACTTCATGATGTTGTATTTCTTATCTCGTTCCACGGTGAAGACAGTCTTTCTAATTTCCTCGGTAAGCAACGGTTCTGGAGTTTTGTGGGGAAAAGCATTCCATTTTTTCGGGATTAGACCGTCCGGGATGGAGACAAAGAAAAACCAATCCTTCCACCCCTTAATGGAAGTCAGGTTATCGGTGAAGAGTATGTGACCCGTACGAGCACTAGCAGCCAGAAACCCATGTGTTTGCTGAGGGACCACTTTAAAAAATTGATGAAATAACTCTAAACAGGGGGTGACCTTGGCATCCACACAGCGACAAATGAAGCCTACCATTACTTGGTAGGGATTTGGCATGACTTGGGTCGGTACTACCTCGTAGAAGTTAAAGAAGGATACGAAGAACGGGTGTAATGGAAACCTAAGCCCAGCTTTCACTGAGTTTAAGTGGACTATTACCATCCCAGGAAGATGGCGCATTGGGTGCAGCCCGGCCCGGAGACGAAAGTCCACTGAATCCGGGATTATGGCTGGGATTTGGGCCCTGTTATGAGAGGTTAGTCTCTACCGCCTCTCTTTAATCAAATTTAGGTCATTCTTGTAGCGAGGGACATCGTCCGGGTGGTCGACCGCCATGGAAGCAATCTCGTCATCAGATTTGGTGTCGTCTGATTTATCGCCGGAAGAAGAGGGCTCATCGGAAGAATCCTCTTCCGCTGCACTAGCACCTTTCGCCGCTTCATGGACTACATCGGCAAAAGGAACGGCTATGGCATTCCCGGCAGCAGCATCATGAACATCCCCTTGGGAGGCCGGTTCCGAATCAGGGGAACACGCTCGAAAAGACATACTGACCAGAACCTAGAATAGAAAAAACGAGTAAGGGGCGGGAAATACCTGAACAGTCAAAACGGAAATTCGAAATCCAGAAACGGAGAGCAAAAGACCTATTTATAGCCTGACAAGCGCCGATTCCTTGACCAACCAGAGGGAGACACGTCACCGGGAGCGTCTGAAAAAACACGTGTCACGTGGGAGAACAAAGGCCAGTAATCATGGCAATTATGGAAAAAATCAAACGACAACCGCAACAAGCTACTAACTCATGACATAGGGAACCAACGAGATCTGGACCTCGGTCGACACTCGACATACAAGTTCTACTTCCTTATGCACTCACAACCATTCGAGACATCAGAAGTGGAGGACTCGTGTTGGGATATTGGACCGAAGGCCCAATACCCGGGCCAAAGGCTCAAAGTATCCGGTCCAATAAATAGCCGGGAATCTAGACGAAGAACAGGCCCAGTGAGATATATGCCCCGAACGGGGATCGGGTCAACCACGGTACTTGGGCCAGATCAATGATATTTTCAGCCTGGTCCATCACCCCGTTCGGGCAACAGATAGCTGGCAAGTGGCAAGGAGCAATAAATGCTAGAGTATGACATCAACCAGTGGAAGCATGAGCATTCAAGTGGCTGGATTAGCAACCAATCAGAATGGAGCACCCCATATCCCCCATTAGTATAAATAGAGGGATTAATCTCATTGTAAATAGGGATGGACTCGGGTCAGGTGGCCTGACCAGGAACCGGCCCGGAACCGGTACTGTTCTGGCCCGACCCGACCCGGTGGCCCGGTCAGTGACCGGTCCGGGTAGGCCCGGCCCGTGGGTTTTCCGGTCCGGGCTCGGGTCACCCAAAACAAGGCCCGACCCAGCCGGGCCCGATTCGGGCCAAAAACTTTTTTTTTCAATTTTTTTAAATTTTCGGGTTGGGCTGGGTATTTTGGGCCATTTGGGGTGGTTTGGGGGGTTGGGGTGGGAGGGGGGTTAATTGGGAAGAGGAAAACAAAAAAAATGATAATGGGCCCGGCCCGGCCCGGCCCCGGACCGGACCCGATGGTTACCCAGGCTGGTCCCGAGTCCACCATTTCTGAACCGCCGGCTCGCCCGGGCCTAGGCCCGACCCGGACCTGAGTCCATCCCTAATTGTAAATGTTTAGCATTTTGATACTCAAGGCCTAGAATAGCTTTCTTATTCTTGTTATTGTATTAATCACTATTCCGACGTACCGTTCGGGAAGTTTCCTGTGTAATCAGCGAATTGCTTAATACAAGTGGGCTTTTGAGCATATTATTATTCAGCTTTTATATTTTCTTATACGCTCAATTTATTATCCACATCCTGAAATATCCAAAGCGTGTGTTGGACTTTCGGATCTGCGGGACTTAACCTCAACAAGTGCTTATAATTGTGTTCAAATTTTACATCGTAATAACTTACAAGTAATTATTACGATTTGTTACTAATAATTACTAAGTAATAACTGTAATATGTTTGTCCATGACTTTTTAATTAGTAATATTTACAAGAAAACCTCTTATATTAACTCATTTTCTTTTCAATCATTTACACAACATAATTTTATGAAATTTTTTGTTATTATTACTATACAGAAATAATGTGATATCGATTATTTATTAAATTTTATGCACAGGTGAGAATCTAGTTCTTACTAAATATTGTACTAATCTTACACATTACCAATGCAAATTTAATACTCCGTAAAATTTAATTCATTATATCCATCATCCATATCAGGTAACAAAAAAGGATTCTAATAATCAGCAGCAGTCATCATCAACCTGAGTCCTCGGCAATTTCTGGCAGGTCTGTGAAATCCTCTACGTTGCCTGAGCCAGCAGTTTCTTTACCCATAGAGCGGAGATCATCAATTTCAATGACTAGGAATGCATCACACACAACTTTGTTTGCGTGCACTACTTTTGGACAGCCTGAAAAAGTAGAGACTTGAGTGAGCCGCTGAGCTATTCTAATCTTGCAAAGAAGAAGAGCTTATTTGATAGGGGCTAACTGAGATTGTGGCTGAATGAGTTAAACTGTCTGAAACTGTAATGAAGATATAGTACTCCGTACTATTATTTAATCAACTAAGAAAATAAGAACCCTCTTCCCCAAATAAAATCATATTTTATCAAAAGAAGATTATTTTGATATAGTTTGCCAAAAAAAATTAAATTAGTTGAATATGATTAATTTAGTAAAACAACGCTCATGTTTTGAAAATATAGAACCACTTTCCCAATATAAACTTCATAGTGGGAGTGTTCCACACTTATTAAGAAAATTAAAATGTTTGGTTCATATCTTTTTAAAAAGGAAATGAAACAGTAAACCACTCAATTCTTTCTCATGGAAAGTAAAATTTATTTTGACAGCAAAGAAAGGAAAAAAGAAGAGCAAGTAATTAAGATTTCGTGATTTTGAAATCTTGTACCTTCAAAATTTTAGAAATTGTAACTTCACCAAATTGGGCTCTTTTTAGGGTGAGGTTAGAAATGTCAATTGGGCTCTTTTTAGGGTGAGGTTAGAAATGTCATTTATCTTCGTTGAAGTTGTTTAATAAAAGAATAAAACATGCACTACTACTTTTCTGAATTATATACAATACAGTTGTTGTGCAACCAGTGGAGCCTCTCCCCTTGTGCCTTGGGAGGATCGGGGTTCGGATCTGCCCTTTTTATATGATGATTGGACTAACACAATCATCACATACGATAAGCTAAACTGTGGTGTTACCGCAACAACAACAAAAAGATATTGGGGATCGGCTAACATGAATCGATACATGATATCACAACCAAAAGGAAAAGAAGGAATAAAGATAAAAAGATAAGCTATTATGAGAAGATAATATAAAAAAAGATGAATATATATAAAAATGATAAAATAAAAAGGCTGCAAATAATGCTTATATATATATATATATATATATATATATATATATATATATATAAGGATAAAAAAACTAGGAAAAAATAGATGAGGGAAAAAACTTTTATGGGTGTATAAGTGTATATATAAAGGGATGAAGTACCTGCAACAGGACACCGGCCATGCCCATTCTTTATGTGTTGCATAATAGCCGCCTTCTCAAATATATGTTTGCACTGCAAACTATACCAATTGCGCAGTAGATGAAGTAAGGGCATTATATTAAGGGTCTGTTTGGCACCATAAAACTGCTATGGACGGATAATACGAAGGAGAACAGAGGGGAACTTGGAATGGAATAAAATATGCGGTGAAGCAAAAAATGGTGCAAACTTAATGAATCAGTTGGAGATATTTGATCACCAAACTCATTATATTTTTACGAATCTATTATTTGACGAATAAGACGTCTAAATACATGTAGAGTTGTAAAACGTTTTTATATAATCTGACTTTCATTTGTATTTTCCAACGTAAAATTTAAATAAAAATGGTTCCAAACAGATCCTGAGAAACAACAGGAAAGCAATTACTAGCTACTAGAGTTTGCCTAGATAGTTTCCGGGGTCTAATAAGGAAACCTCTACAATGTGGGACACCTGCACAAGAAAGATTTATTTCACCATACCTTCTAACAGGTTCAACTAGCTCCGTGACGGGCTTTCCACTTAAGGGACAAGTCTTATTAAGGAGGTTGCACCCTGAACTGGTCATTACAATATCATCTTCCTCTTCTCCCGGCATTGGTTGTCCAGCATGATGAACATTCTTTAAATTAAAAAAAGAAAAAAGAAAAAAAAAGAAGAGAGAAAACAGGAAGCGTGAGGGCAGTTCATGTGGTTGTTAATCCATCATGAACGTATTGGAGTTGTCAGTTTCATAGATACACTTATACACATTCCACAAATCAAGATAGAAAATGAAGTGCAGATGATTCTCGGTAACTTAGAGAAGGATGTGAGCTGCTTAATTAGAGCAAATGACAGTTAAAATTAGATGAAAACAGTTGAAATCAGGTTCAGTTTCACAATGGATGTACAACACTTTTTGTCAAAAAATATGAATTCATGACGTTCAGTTTCATTATACAAAGAAGAAGAAAGCATAATGATGCGAAAAAGAAAAACATTGTTTAAGCAGCAGTACAGAGAAGACTTTAAATGAAATACATTTTGTAACTTATATCTCTGATATGTGAACACACATACCCAAATAGCTTCCCGAAACTGTCTTAGTGATTGATTCTGAAGAGAAGAAGCTACTTTAGATTTTCCAATCTCAGCATCAAACAACTTCTTAAAATCTGTTGGCTGCAATCAATGATTTCGAACCCTCTAAAGTTCTTGGGCCAGTACTAAAACTAGAAAAGAGAAAGAAAGATAACAGTTAAGAAGAAACTGTAAGAGGAAGAAAAGATACCTGTGGCCCAGGTTCGTACACATTTCCTATACTTTGCATTGCATTAGAAAAATGCAAACAGTCATTAGAGGTTTCCAATAACTGAGCGACTGCAGTTTCAAGCTCCTTCACCTGGAATGTTGACCTTACCTCTGTTATTTTGTGCATAAGGCTAGCAGGTTCAAGTGTTCAAAACAAATAACTATGTGATATTTGACCTCAGACATGCTAATTGTCATAGGGAAATTATAGCTTTTTGTACTGTGTAAAATAGTTATGATAATGTGATCCCCTAATGTCAACATCTCACAGTTGTACTTTACAAGTTAAATAAACTTCTGCTAGTGTCCCATATCAGATGTTTATTTTACAGTGTCTAATATATAAGTGTGAGGTAAACATCACACTTGGGTAAGTAAACCCAATTTAGCATGTTATCATAGACATGTACCTGCTGCTGGTTTCCCAATGGCTTCAGCTATCTTACTGGTGGGCATGAACAATTAATTGGCCACTAGTGGAATCTATTATGTTAACTGAGATCAAGGCTTTGCCTATAATAATATTCTGATAACTTCACTACTCAAAATTGTTTTTCAAGATCCAATATTATGCTTTATCAAATTTAATTAACAATGTTGAAGATTGACTTCAGTATCATTCACTTTAGTTTAATAACAGGTACAACAAGTGAATGCCGACCCTCTACCTGGCTTTAAAACCTAGAAACCTGCCCAGCCAACTTCACCCCTTATATCATCTCAAGATTTGTGCGATCAGCCGACCAGTGATCCCCACGTTGATCTGACAATCTGGGTGTGTTAAGGCGCAGTGTCTGGCTTTAAATCAGTGCAAAGGACTGAATTCGAACACAGTAAGGTAATTTATGTAGAAAAGAATCTCAATGTAACTTTTCCATTCAGTTATTAGTATTGGACAAACATTTAAGGTGTTCACTGAACAGGAAAAAAAAATCAATGAAATAAGGTGAAAAAGCTTTCCGATGATTAAAATAGCCTTCCAGTTATCTTTGATTAGCACTCAAAGATAATACATTGAATAGTTTATCCACCAGTAAAATAGTATCTTAAGATAAACACCTTATTCCTGTGAATGAATATTTAAATGCCTATCTTAACTCCAATAATTATCTTTGATTAACACTCAAAAATAAGGTGAAAAGGCTTTATCCCTAATATTATTCAGATAATTTCACCACTCAGAATTGTTTTTCAAGATCCACGCAACAACCATTAGATTTATTAAATTAATTAGTAACATTGAAAATTGACACAAGCATCATTCACTTTATCATTTACTTTAGTTTAATATAACATGTTAGAATAGTGAATGCTGACCCTTAGTGTTGGAAAAATTCAGACTTTCTCGCTTCATGAAGTTAAGATAGGCATTTAAATATTAACGGTAGTAATGAGAGCACACTGGTATAATTTTTCAATACGGAGATACTTCCACTATACAAAAGGATTAAAGGATTATAAGGATGTGTTTACAAAATTGACTCACTCTATTTTGGCTCACTCAAGCTAGAGGATAGGAACTTCATAAGCTCTCTCTCTTTTCTCTCAAAAATCTCAGAAAAATTCTACACTTCTCAAGAAAAATCTAGAACTTTCTAGAACTTCTCCCCTTAAGGAGGGATACCAACACTTGGATCATCTCAAGATTTATGCAATCAGTGAGCCCCACGCTGATCTGATGATCCTGGTACAACAAGGCTTGGTGTCTGGCTTTAAAGCCGTGCAAAGGATCCGAAACCAATTACCAACATATTAAGGTAATTGACATAGAAAATTTGTTTCAGAGCAACTTTTTGATTCAGTTAATAGTATGGACAAAAAGTTTAAGGTGTTCACTGAACATAAAAATCATTGAAAATGAGGTGAAAAAGGTTTCCAATGATTGAAATAGCGTTGCAATTATATTTGATTAATACAGAATCTGTTTGATAAAAAACATTACTGTTCAACACTTATTTCTCCTGTATGAGCCTGAACCCTATACTGTCCTACACTAGTACACTATAACTAGGAAGAACTATTTTACGTAAAGGTTTATAACAACACAAACTGAATAAACTATGAAAAATCACACATACAGATATCATAAGTTCTCTACGATGTAGCTTAAGCGCACATGCGGACAGGTTTCAACAATCCAGACTTCTCAAGAACGTACCATATCTGACTTGTTATCTTTCTCCAAATCAACTGCAATTTCCTTCATCAAAGTTATAGCCTTCCTCATATCCTAAATATATTCCAGAATACATTCCAAAAAACAAGGTTATGAAGAAAAGAGAATAAGGAAAATAACATAATTTTAATACTCCGTATAACTGTAAAAAAAGAGTGTTCATACTCTGATAAGGGACTGATTGTCTGAGTCGAGCATAGAGGTAACTGATCTTAGTCTTCCGAGAGGGGCGCCGCTGCGTTGTCCTGACGTCGACGCCATTCGCGGTGGCTTTTGGGTTCAAGAAAGAAAGGGTAATAGCGCGGATGGTTCGCGGTTTAGTCACTTCGGATTGTACACCTAAACAAAGACCCACAGACAAGACCCGTTAAAATGACACAAGATCGTTAAAAACATCTTTTTTGGTCCAAAGTTAAAAATGTTTTTTTGATTTTAATTTGAAAAGGTTGAAATGAATGTTTTAAAGGGTTAAAGGGTATATTTTGTGTAAATTTATCTCTCTAGAGTTACCTACCGGCAACACCTAGTTTCATACCGTCGTCGGCCTTACCAGAGTCGTCGTTGGTAAGCGTGTGCAGCGAGGGGCCGTTTTTCCGAGTTTCTTTCGAAGCTTCGTTATTTCCGTCTTTTCTTTTGTTGCTTCTGAGTTTTGCTCTAGCAGTATCGTTGTTGAAGGATAGGAAGTCAAGGCAGCCCCGTATTGCCGAATATCACATAACTGTTCGGTGTAATCGGCCATCGTTTTTACCGAGAGGAAGGTAGGGAGGAAGGAGTCTACATGGAAAGTGTTGTGGATAAATATAGGAAGATGACACTTGAGGTAGAGGAAGAAGATTTGGACCTCGGCGACACAGAGGCGGAGGAACTGTCGGTGGAAGAAAATAGGTCGGGGTTTTCCGGTGGTCAGAGTTCTGTTGACGGACCGCAAAGTCAAATTTCCAACCATCAAAGAGCTCATGGCGTCGCTATGGAGGCCGGGCAAAGGGCTATCGGTCAAACAAGTCAGGGGAAAAAGGTTTCTTTTCACTTTCTATCATCGTGTGGATATGAATCGTGTTCTTGAAGGAGGACCTTGGCAATTTGAACGTAATCTGTTGTTGCTAGAAGAAGTTAAGCCTGGTGATATTCCTCTTAAAATTGTTTTGAATGAGGCCGATTTCTGGGTTCAGATTCATAATGTCCCTTATAGTCTAGTTAATTTAGGTACTGCGAGAAGGGTGGGAAATTTCATAGGAAAATTTATAAAATATGATGATAATCAGAACAGTGATAAGTGGGAGGCGTATATGAGAATAAGAGTGTGTATGAATGTGGAGAAATCTCCGAAAAGATGTACTAATCTGAAGAAAGATGGCAAGAGCTACTGAGTAGACTTCAAATATGAAAAGTTGCCAAATTTCTGTTTTATTTGTGGGCTAATTGGACATTCAGATAAATTCTGCCATTTAAATTGTGAATAAGATCTAGTTCTAAAAAAATGGAGTCCATCTTAGAGCAGGTAGCGGAGGGAAGACGAATCCTACAGGAGGAAATCAATGGTTACGGGAGGGTTCATCGAGCTCTGGCAGAGACCATAGGTATGGAGAGGGTAACAGGTCTGAGGACAAGTTAGGGGTGGAAGGAAAGAATCTGTTGCAGATTCAGAGCAGAGCATAACGAAGGGAGTAGGAGGGGAGACAAAGGAAGAATCAGCGGGGGAACAGAAGCGAAGGAGGTTATGGGAGATACATGAAGAAGAGAAGAATGAAAAGGATAACATGGCTCTGGATGGGACAAAAACGGGGAGGGGGTGGACTTCGACCTGTAAGTCCGCCTAAGTGGATTCAGATTCAAAGGCTCAGGATTTGGGTGCTTGGATCAAGCTTTTCAGTTTTTTTTTTTTTTATTTCGAGACTATTCTGTTTGTTTTGTGTTTTGTTTTGTTTTGTTTTTGTGTTTCCTTTCTGTAAGACGATTGATTTGGATATGGGGGATAAGAGAATTGGGGTAACAGTCTTTGGCTCATTTGTGCCCATTAATGGATCAACGAGTTATATAACTTCTGTTGAGGTGATTAACTCTAAGTCTAGTTCGCGGGACGGCGGTTGTCAGGATTCTGTTTGTCGGATTACCCATTATCTAAATGTTGAGATATCATTATAAGCCTAATTCTTCCAAAAAAGAGTTAAGGGGTATTCATACAAGGAAACTTCTTAGAGTGTGGATGGAAGACCTTGACGACAAACTGATCGGCTGGAGTTTCAGAGGCAGCGGCAATTCAAGAGGCATTGTCCAGGGTGAAGTCCCAAAATTGGTTGGTGGTTCAGGTGGAGTCTGATTCCCTCTCGGTGGTGTCGGGGATAGTAGATTCATAGATTGTATGGGGATTCTTATTTTGATAATATTTTGGAAGAAATTGGACTCATTCTCCATAATGAAACTGGTATTGACGTCAGTCACTACAAGAGATCCGTGAATGAAGTAACTCATAGTTTAGTTAGGCATGCACTTTCTATGTCGGATGGCCTTATTACTTTGTACACGGTGGAGGACCTAGGGGGGTCATGGGGGGCAAGTGCCCCCGCTTCCGATCCCGAAATTTAGTATTATTACTTGAGATAAAAATCATGCCCCCGCTTCACGTACAAAAAAAATATAAGGATAATTTCAACGAAGAGCATATGTATTGTAGTGAAAATGTAAAAGACAAACAAGGTGTGAGGGATCGATTCCATGCAATTAGACATGTTTTTGATATGATCACTAAACTTTCTTTGAAATGTGGCATTGATGATTTTTTGAATAAGTATGAATTATGGTCTAAAGTCAGAAGAGGTTTAAGATATGACAAAACATCTAACAAAATTAAACTATATGTAGTACTTCATTTTTAACAAGGTAGTATTTTGATACAATGGTCTTAATGAGTTCAAAACAAGACCTATAATCTATATATCTCCTGAACCGACATTGAATAATCTATTTCCGGTTAAAAATAATAATCTAAACAAACTAGACAAGATAAACCAGTTCAAGGGCGGATCAAGGGTACTGGGCCGGACTAGACAGTGCAAAGAATATTTCTGAACAAACTTTTACACGGAATTGTTCACCTTAAAAATTAAAAAACATCCTTCAAATTTGGCGTGAGCCAAGGCCTACGTTGGTCCTCCCCTAGATCCGCCCATGGACCAGTGATGCACCCGACCCGAGCCACTCTCATCCATGCGGTTGTGCCCAGCATTAGAAAACTTCTGGGTTCGTCACTGTTTGTACAGTCCTCCTAATTTTATTGTAAGTAAGTTAGAGAATGATTTGCTGAATTAATAATATTGATCGGTTTACTCAAAAAAAAAAGGTAAGGGGCATTTTCCATACCGTCCTTATTTGTTTGGGATTTAATAATCGTCAGCCCTGAAACCTAAAGTTGAAGAGCCGAAGTTTCAAGCACTGAATACGGCAATCTGATATCTTAAGTAGAGTAAAGTAGAGTTTTCTAATTATGAAGGATAAATTAGTTTTTATAATGTCTTAAACAACAATATCTTAGGTTAACACCAACCACTCCATTGATAAATTAGATTCTCCACTACTTTATACATATTCAGCTAGTTAATTCAATTTTTTGCAACCCATCACCGTAATATGTTCACCTAGCATTTTTCCCAATTAAAACCTTACATTGATTATTACATATCAATTTCATACCAATTTTTTTTTGTGAATAATTATAATTTAAAAAGAAAAGCATTCCGATGTAAAAATAAAGAAATTTATAGTTTAACTTTTTGTTGTTACTTTACACCTATTTTAGAAAAAAAATTGAAAGATGTAAAAACAAATATTTGAATCATGAGATCTTAATTTTAGCACTTGGATTTACTTAAGAAAAACTTTGGCCTAAAATCTCTAACGGATGAAGCTTCATAATTGTTGGGTTAATAGGCTCGATTGTGGATCGGCCCATTACCCCTTACCAGATAAACCATCAGGGCCCAATCCGAACACGGTCCATCAAGATGTCCATCAGACGATCAGTGGATCCATCAAGACGACCGGCCTTAGTGGCCTTGGTCCAACAAGGGCTAGATGACATTCCAGGGTCTTCGGCCAGGCAATTTGCATAAGTCGTGCGGAGCCCCAACCTTGTGTACACCAGAACCCAGGGTCTAAGATTAGGGGACGATCGTCCTATGCCATTGGTGGGAAACCAAGATATTGACGGGAAGCACATTTAATACAGTAGATTTGGTGGTTGGGAAGCTAGCCACCCACAATCCTCCACATCATCAACATCACCTATCCCTTGGTAGTATAAATAGTAGCATTTATTTCAGTGTAAGGGGTTGAAAACTTATTCTCCCTAGCAAATAGCAATTATCTTAGCTCTTAGCACTGAGATAGACGAACGGCCTCTCGGTTAGTAGTTGAAGTGTATTGTATACGGACCTTTATTATCATTTAATGAGATACGGCCCACTTACTACTCTTGTTATTGACCCATCTTACTTGCTTGCACCACACATCCATTGTATTCTCCACTCGATATCCATAGGAATGTGTGAAAGGACATAATTTATTGTGTTCAATTTAATTAGATTTATCTTTATTTGGTTAGGATTTAATTAGTGGGCCTTTGTAATTAAATAGGAGCCATTTAATTTGACCTATTAGGCCCATCCTAATGGAATTAGGATATTCAGCCACACTCTTATAAATACAGGGTGTGTAGGCTGAAATACTAGAGGGTTTCAAAATTAGAATAGCCATATCATTCTCGAAACTCTCATGCTAGAATTTAAGTCTCTACACATTCTGTTTCCGTATATTATTCTGGTAGAGCACGTAGACAAGATATTCTATCTCTAGCATTCGAGTACTGTGTATTGTTCTTCCTGGATTCATCATTCTTAATACACGGTATACGTTATTGTTGAATTTCTCTTCTACTGTTATAATTCTCTCAATTATTATTAGATTATTCGACTGTTGAAATCTGGGGTACATTCACACAATTGGTATCAGAGCAAGTGGAGTTTGAAATGATTAGGGCTTGTGAAGTGGTTTGCTCACAAGTACATTGCCTTTTCTCCCCCTCATGATGATCCAAGTCATCAGAGTCATCATGCTTACGCTTAGGCAAGCGTTCTTGATCACGGCAAGAGGTGGTAGGGATGAATGGTGGGGTGAGGGTTAGGATATTGCGGACTTGAATGAGGTGAGACTGGAGGATGGGTTCGGCTAGGAGTCTGTCAAAATAGTACTCAGATAGATCAAGATTATTCATTTTTGTTGGGTCAGGGTGAGAGGTAGATGGTGTTGTTGGTCCCGTTTATATTAGGAACAGTCTAGAGGGGGGG